AGCGCAGCTAAAAAAAATTGTGCATTGAGGCGCATTTTAAACCGTTTCAGATTGAAGAGGCGGCCTCGCTACTACATGAAAAAACTCACATTTCTACAAGAGCTCACAAAAAGGCATAATGGACGGGAATTAGGGATGTACCAATACTAGTATTGGTATCTGTGCCAATACCGGATATTTGGGCGAGGGCTCCGATACTTACCTCCGACACAGGAAGCTGGGAGGTGGGTTATGACCCGCCTCCCAGCTTCCTGATTGGAAAGGAAGCCGACTTCACTGGTTGCTAGGCAGCCTGGCTTTCTAACCAGTAAGGCTACAGCCCATGTGAACAAGCCCTTATTGGTAGCTCATACTGTCAGCCTGTAGCAAAACAGCTCACAGCATTGAAAACTGTACAAAGGCAAAAACTGTAGGTAGTGTTGCACTGTATGACCTCCTGCGTGTGATAGAAGCATTGTTAATATGGGGCAAAAACATTCTCAGTAAAATGCAACTGAAGCTATTTTTTTAAAGTTTTGGATAGATTGCAGAGGGAATAGAACACCTGTCAGGTTTTTATTGCTGCCTGTGTCCCCATTTGGAAGATTCACCTTCCCTATTTTTCCTGTTGACCATTATCACTAAAAGTGAAAGTAAATGCCACATTTTGGTTTGTTATCAGAACAGGAACAGATGGCAAATCTTCCAATTGGGACACTAGTTCAGGTGAGCCTGATGACTGCCAGGGATTTCCCTCACGTTGGAGAGACTTCTCTCACTTCCTGTTTTGGCTATCAGACAGGAAGTGAAGAAAAGTCTCCCCAATAGGACACAGATGGTAAAAAAGCTGATGGGTTTTTACCCTCCATTACTCGATTCAAGACTTTAAAAAAAAGGTTTTGGCTTCAGATCGACTTTAAGCATGCTATATAGAAAACTTAGTTGTTGGCTGTTTTAGTGTTTTTCCACAGCCACTAATGTTAGGCCCCAGCAAGCAGTGCTGAGACAAACACAGAGTATAGAGCCCTGGAACATTGGAATGGAAATGTAATCTAAAGGACAACATACATTAGGAGTGATGTACAGTGACAAAGAAGTTGAAATAGAGGATATTATAGAATGTTATGCAGAAGCTCAGAGTATAGGGCAAACCAAACACACTACCTGAGAAGATATCACAGGGCAGCTATAGTATCAGGCAGCAGTTCAGGTGCAATTAGAATTGAAACATTTCAGCATTCTCAATCAAATATTTATATTTACGATATGGTTAGCATATGGTTTATAGGTGCCCTGGGAGCAAGGTAATGGACTGTCTGCTAAGTATATTTTATTGCATATAGCCATCTGCATCATCCGTGTATTTATAGCATGATTGACACTTGTCATTTTAGAAGGAATTATAGTTTTCTTTACACTAAGAAGGTTTCATTCAAGGATATAAACTTGTCAGGCAATGTAAAGTTCCACTTTACCCTGCGTTCTAAGATCATAACCTGAATTTCTTCAGGAAAATTTTCAGCACCTAGTCCTGGTGGCCGACCACTAATTACAGGGCTGAATGCTAGTATATTTATATAATTTATTTTTAGATGAATAAAGTTGGATAAAGTTTTGTTTTTGGATCGCTTTGGAATTAAACTCTGGTTGGTATGGGTAACAGCTTCCATTTTTATCAATCGTTCCTGTCTTGGTTTAATTGGGAAATGCTAGTTGTATAATACAAATCACACAAATGCTCCTAATTATAATAGCTGCTGCACATGTAGAATAACCTGGAAACTGTACTCACTGTGAACTAACACATGAGTTCTGATATATACGGAGCTGTGTATCTCAGGGTCTGTTTAAAACCCAAAAGTAATGTAAATTCCCTCACTTAGTAATTAAAATTGCTTTAAACCAGGGGTCTCCAAACTACAGTGCACGGGCCACATCCCGACTGCAGCAATCCCGGCTGACTGGAGGCTCCGGACTGTGTATCTTAATTCGGAGACTGGCACATCACCTACCAGCCAGCCATGACCCTCCCTCAATCCCCAGGACAGATTTCTTCCAGGTCCTCCACAGTAGTTGGTCTCTAGGACTGCCAGCGGCCTATCATGACATGATTGCCCTGCCCCCTGAATTTACAGTACTGTAGTTCCAGACCTGCTCTGCCTTCCGGCTTCTGCCCTGCTACTCTGCTGTCTGAATGGTAAGAGGGAACTCTGCTGGACACACATGGATGTGAAGGAGAACTCTGCTGGACAAACAGGGATTTAATGGGGACTCTGATTGGCACTCTTGGATGTAAGGGAGGACTCTAAAGGGCACACGGGGATCTAAGGGGAACACTGCTGGACACCCAGGGATGTAAGGGGGACCTCTGATGGGTGCTTTTGGATGTATGGGGGACTCTAAATGGCACTCTTGGATATAAGGGGGGACAATGATGGGCACTACTGGATGTAATGGGGAAATCTAAAGGGCAATCCTGGATGTAATGGGAGATGCTGGTGGGCACTCCTGGATGTAAGGGGCGACTCTGATGGGTACTCCTAGATGTAAGGGAGGCCTCTGATGGGCACTCCTAAATGTAAGGGGGGACTCTGATGGGCACTCCTAGATGTAAGGGGTGACACTGATGGGCACTAGTGGATGTAAGAGGGGAATCTAATGGGCACTCCTGGATGTAAGCTGGGATTTTGATGGACACTCATGGATGTAAGGAGTGACACTGATGGGCTCCACTGGATGTAAGGGGGGCATCTAATGGACAATCTTGGATGTAAGCGGGGACGCTGATGGACACCCCTGGATGTAAGGGGGGACTTATTAATTTATGTAAATGAATTAATTTATATATTTTTGGGCCTATGGATATTGTAAAATATGTTATGTGGCCCTTGTACTGAAAATTTTGGAGAGCCCTGAAATAACTTTCACCTGTCTGAATTAAACACCAAATAATGATGACATTTTGCAGCTAGGTAGATCATAATTTTTCATGAATAAAACTGGAGTGCTATTGAAAGAAATTATGAAATGTTCCATTATAGAGAAACCTAATGTTCTTTTCAATCATGGATAGCCTGCATTGTACATGATGACATCAGCGGTTCTAATACCACTGGAACGAAGGGGAGATTATTCTGTGGGGGAGTGGTTTAGCAGCCCAGAGGGAGCTAGCGTGGACCAGGTAAGTAAAACAGCTTTTTCCTGTCCCCTAGGCATAAACAAGCAGCTAACCCCTACAGTGCTGGGGTAGCTCCACTGCAAGGGAAAACTTTTTTATTTCCCTGGAGTTGTGCTTTAAGCAAAGGAAAGAAGACGACAGATAATATGTTTTTTTTTTCCTTAATTAATGGACCAGCACTGGAATTGAACCCAGTTACTATGAGCAACAGCTCCAATCTTATGTGTTCCATAGTTCATAAATCAGTTTAGAGTACCATGCAGGCAATCAGGCCACAATGGCTTCATAATCCAGAACACATTCTCTGACTATTTGGAGTATGAACTTTATTGTAAATATGCATGAGACAGAGCAATAATCTACCACGCGCAGGCCAGTTTTAAATGACTCCCACTGTATGTCATATCACAACCATGAAAGCTTTGAATAGCGGGCATTTGTATGTTTTATGCCTTTTAAACAACTGTGTACTGTAGTTTTTGACAGATTTATGAATCCGCAAATGTTTTGTTCATTTCTAGGATCTGTAATCAGAATCTCATTCTGACTAAAGGAAAGAGAAAGGCTGTGTCTGCCATCTAGCGGCCGTATCATCTAAGTGCACTTGTAATATTTTCCGATACCTTCTAATCTGTAATCAGTCAATAATGTTGTTATTTACTGACAAGCGCTCCGGTTGCCTTAATTATATGTAGATCCTGAAAATGAATGCATGATTGATGTCTTAAAAGGTTCAACTTTATTAAGGTTTGGCTTGCTATGCAATTCATATCTCAAAACTAAGTGAAATGCTGGATGTGGAAGATAAATATACCCTGTAATATGCCATTCTTCAACATTGCACCAGTTATTAAATGCTACTGTTTTCCCAGATGTCGAAGCACCTTGCTTGTCTAGGGTGTTGTTTATTTGTGTGTCTGTAATTTAGCTTGCTGTCAAACTAATGAACGGTGAGCATTGGAAGTTGAACTCTGCGAAGGGCTAATTTAAACTAACATAAAATTTATTTTTTATTGCAATGCTTTGTTTGGAAGATTTCCCCTTACTTCCTATCCTGATTACAATCATCCCCAGGACTGGAATTGAGGTGAAATTCCATTGTTGTCACAGGAACACAAGGTGAAGGGGTTCCACCAGCAGGAACCCCAACTGCCAAAAACAGGATTTCTTCTCAGTTTGGAGAGACTTCCTTTCACTTCCCGTTATGTCACCATGGCAGGAAGTGAAGTGAAATTTCCCCAATGGAGAAACAGCCAAGAAAAATCTGACAGAGGATGTAAGTCTTCCCTGTACTCACTGAGATTGTCCAGCTATGGATTAAATAGACTTGGTTGTGTGGCTTCATGTGAGACTGAATGGTATTTAAGGGGTATGAAAGTTTACAAGTTAGCTATGACTAAGGCTTTGTATAGCCAAAATGTGTTAGTGTTTCGTACTGGATTTTGGCTTTTAATTAACAAAAAGGAATTATATATCACATTTGGACTCCAGTGCTTTCACTTACTTGTACAGTCTATGAAAGGTAACAGGAGCCCTGCTGTTGAGACCATCATCTCTGGTTGCAGTGGCAAAAGAGGTAGAGTGAAACTTTTTTTTATGTATAACTTCCCTGTTCTATACTGAAGAATTATATGCTTAAAGGTCTACTTAAAAAGGAAATTTCAGCATTTTTAAACTAATGTGATATATGAACTGTACAACTATCAAGCTTCTTGACACTAGGAGAAAGTGTTGGTGAAGTATACGTTTAACTGTATGGTTATAGAGCAATGTAAGATTACATTGTTATAGTTAGGATTTCCTTAGCTCTATATTAACTCCACCTATGTAATTTTATTTACAGAAAAACCCAAGACCTGTGAGCTATCAGTTCCACCAAAACTTAGATTTCTACAGGGCACGAGGAGTAGACTTGTTGAACAGGTCACGGTGAGTATTATCTTCTGCAGTAGCTTGCTTTTGGCAGTGCTTCTGTTTTTTAACTCTGATGGCCACGGCTTCAACAATTTCTACTTATTATTATTGATAATACACATAACCACATCTAATGAATGTACATGGATAGATAGATAGATAGATAGATAGATAGATAGATAGATAGATAGATAGATAGATAGATAAATCTCCTGTCAGGATAATTGAGAAAACCTTTGGATTGTTTTGCCAGGTCTCCATCAGGACCAGGTTAATTTTGTAAATGATCCCGGCAGTCCTGCCTTAACTAATGAAATTTGTGTTCAATTGGCACTTGATGTGCCACCTCCACCATCGTTTAGCTTTAACCTTGTGCTAAGGGCCATGTTTATAAATGACAATTTAGAATCTGAATTCACACACTGTTTCCCCAGCATTTTCCACACCAGAATGCAGCTCAAGAACCATGCATTAAGATAAAGACCAAGATATGCCTTGAGAGCTATCAATCGTTAGGTAGGAATATGTCACACAAGTGTAATGTACTGTGTAGGGATGCACCGATACCGGCAGTTCGGTACCAAGTACGAGCACCGATATATAATTTTTTCGGTACTCGCCGATACTGTATACCGAGCACAGGAAGTCCCATTCAGGAAGCCAAGCAGCGTGTAAAGACTTGCCACCCAGCTTCCCGATTAGCAAGGAAGCTGTCCCCATGCTTCTTGTCACTATGTGACGAGAAAGCATGGAGCCGGCTTGCTGGCCAATCGTGGAAGCTAGGCGCCATGCAATGACGTGGCGCCCGGCTTCCTGATTGGCCAGGAAGCCGACTCCATGCTCCCTCGTCAGGAGGTGACGAGGGAGCATGAAGCCGGCTCTCCGACCAATCAGAAAGCCGGGCGCTGCATCATTACACGACGCCCGTCTTCCTTATTGGCCGGGAAGCCGGCTCCATGCTCTCTCGTCACAGGAAGTATCTGGCTAGGCATCGGAGCATTTGGGTTAGTACGAGTACTCGCCCAAATACTCGGTATCAGCACCGATACTAGTATCAGTGCATCCCTAGTACTGTGTTAAGCAGAAACAAATACAAAAGAAAGAAAAAAAGACAATGCTGCTGACAACGTGTTGACTACCTGCTGGCAGGTGCAGAAGTCTCATTGAGAGGTACTGAAATTGCTTGTTTACAGTGATTGACTCTGGAGGTTGTGCAACAAAATATTAGGTTAAGGGTCCCATCATTTTTGTTCATGCCATTTTATTTATTTATTTATTTATTATTAAAAATATTCTGTTGAATCAAAAGCAAAATCTGTTTTGTTTTTTTTTATTAAATATTAAATAAACAATGATGTATTCCAATTACTTTGCCTAGTTTCAAATTGTGGCTTTTTCTTTTTTCATGGAAGGGCACCAACAAATTTGTCTACCGTATATACTCGAGTATAAGCCGTCCCGAATATAAGCCGAGGTACCTAATTTTAGCACAAAAAACTGGGAAAAAGTATTGACCCGAATATAAGCCGAGGGTGGGAAATGAGGCAGCTAATGGTAGATAGATACCAATAAAATTACAT